TGTTAATATGGTTTGGATAATGGACATGCCCTTGACTGTTAGCTGGTAGTGTGTTTAGGAAGTAGCAGAAAATCACTGTATGTGTTTGGAGATTAATGGCAACAAATATGCGTAATCATTGAAGCTGCAGATTGCCTGGTTTGAGGGGCTCATCTGGTTCTTTAGTCTTAGGAAAGTGTGTGAGTCTTTCCTAGAGGGACAACTACTTCTCAAGTTGGCTATAGATAGAAAGTCAACATAATACAGATAGGTACTACAGTGACTGGAGGGAATGGCCAAGAAATAGAGGAACTGTGTGGAAATAATGTTTTACAGAACTTTTATTGTGTTCAGTACTGTTAATTTTGCAAACTTAGAGAAATCTTTTAATCAGATCAGCAGCATTACCTCATGAAAACACTCTTGTCAATAGAGCTTTGTGTTGAAAGATTGTTTTAGCACTCTAATAGTAATAAACTATAATGTTCCTTTTACAGAAGCTTTTAAAAAAAGTTTTCTTACATTCTAATCCCATGTACTGAGAACAGGGGAGGAGGATCCAGGTACAAATAATTCCTTCGTGGAGTTCTGCTTGTTTCTGACATTTTCTTTTTCCCTTTGTTCTCTAAATAGAAACCCCACGTTATCCAGTACAAGAGAAAATTAGGGTTATTGGTTTTTAGAGAACTTTTTTCATAATTGTTAATAAGTAGTAATTTGGGAGATTAAAAGAGAGAAGCAAGGATACAGACTACTGCATGCTTGCAAATATTACCCTGCTTTTTTATTTGGATATTTCATAGTGATACCACCTAGAAGGCCAGTAAAAATAGTAAAACAGTGAGGCCATCATGGGCTTGCCTCTGATTTGTTTTTGAGGAATACTAATACTTTTTGGACTATAATAACTGTAAATATTTGAGATTCGGTTCCAAAATTTTAATGTTTAAAAAATGTTATACAAACTTTTCCTGATATGTAAACTAGTTTCCTTTAGTTTGGTATCCATGCTTTCACAAAACACCAAATGCTTACTCTTACTAGCTGTTCACATGCCTCCTCCCAATTTTGGATCCCTGCTGTGAATGCGCTCACTTAGACTCATAGAATAGTTTGGGTTGAAAGGGACATCTAGTCCAACCTCCCCTGCAATGAGCAGAGACATCTTCATCTAGATCAGGCTGCTGAGAGCCTGTCCAACCTGATCTTGAATGTTTCCAGGGATGGGTCATCTACCACCTCTCTGGGCTCTCCGTGCCAATGTTTCACCACCCTCAGTGTAAAAATTGTCTTCCTTGTATCTAATCTGAATCTACCCTCTTTTAGTTTAAAAATGTTACCCCTTGTCCTATCGCAACAGGCCCTGCTAAAAAGTTTGTCCCCATCTTTCCTGTAGGCCCCCTTTAAGCCTCAATAAGGTCTCCCCAGAGCCTTCGCTTCTTCAGGCTCCAGCTCTCTCAGCTTGTCCTCGTAGAAGAGGTGTTCCAGCCCTCTGATTGTTTTTGTGGCCTCCTCTGGATCTGCTCCAACAGGTCCTTGTCTTTCCTGTGCTGAGGGCTACAGAGCTGGATACAGTACTCCAGGTGGGGTCTCACAAGAGTGGAGCAGAGGGGCAGAATCACCTCACTTGACCTGCTGGCCTCTTCTTCCACGGTTCTTCCAAAGGCTACACCAAGCAGGACTTTGGAAGTTTCCTCTGAGATAACTCTCATCCCGCTTCCTTAAAAATGCTCCAGATATTCTTTCCAAAGTTAGTAGTGTTTGTCAGCAGTACCTGGTAGCACTAAGTTTGAAAAACGGGTTGGAATTACACTGCAACAGATACTATGTGGAGGCAGTAGACAGGAACTGGAAAGTTGGCTTTGAAGGAAACAGTCGCCTAACTCAATTGAAAACACAAAGATACTCACTGTAACTCAGGCAAGGACAGGTTGCCTGTAGTTGCTTACTAAAACTAAGGAACATGAGTGTAAATGGTAGTCAAGCAGGTAGCATAATCAGGTAAGCCCTTAAGAGATGTAATCTGCATTGTTTCTTTTACTTGTTAATCTAACCTGTGTTTTCTGCTCCACAGGACACTTACCCATTCATGTGAATAATGGTGTGTTGTGGTAATCTGTACATATTTTAATATTTGCTATAATGCTAAACTTACTCAGCTACTGTTTTTCCTTACTTCAGCGTTCATGAAAAATGAAATTTTGTTATTCTCTGTTGACTTGCTTAAAGCCTCTTTGCCTTCAGTGACTGGCTCTGATCTTATTTGTGGTAATACTGTTGTACTGGATCTCTGTCAGCACACTGTATTTCTGGTGGTGTGCTGGATAACACGTTTCTAAGAGGCTTGTGGGATACAAAATCTCTTACAACTCCTGCAGTACTTAGCTTCATTTTCAACATTTGAATCTGCATTTTTTCACTGGAGTCCGGACCAAACTTTATACCAAAACAGGTGGTAAAGTACATCCTAGTGGTCTGCCTGACCCTGGATACAGCCTGGGGAGGCACCAGCACAAGGGAGCATGGATCTCATCAGCAGAGATGAATGCAGTGGCCTTGTCCAGCTTCCCTCATGTCCTTAGCCACAGCACAGTGCAAATAAACTCAGACCCTGCTGCTCTGGCATTAATGATCCATTTACCACAGTTTAGGAGATACTGTGAAATACGCAACATGATAGTGATGGGTAATTGTTTTGCACCTCTAAGGCATTTGCCAGATAAGAAGGGGAAAGAATTTATGGATTTTTACACCTAATTACTTACTTAAATTTCTGTTGTAAGATAACCAATATCTAGAAGACCAATATTTTTCCCAGGGGAAAAAAAAAAAAGAAAAACTATGTACTTATGAGCCTGTAAAATGGACTAGGTTTAGCTTAGCAACAAATTAGAAACACTTTTACACTCTGTCCCTGTTATTGTTAAAATAAAAGTCATGTGGTCTCAGCCTGGCAAATATTTACTTGTATGCCTAAACTTGAAATCAAAAGTGTTAAATGGGACTAACAGCATATATATGTGTTTGCAGGTTTGGACCTGAGATTTTTTTTCACTGCTTTTTACCTCTTTAGAGTTGAAAAGGAAGATGAACTTTGTTTAAACAAAGTGAAAGTGCTGTTTATTCCCCCTCCATCCCAGCACAGTCTGCACACTGTTGAAAAATTGAGGTTTTGTGTTCTAGAAGCTGTAACAGTGTTTCTGCTAACACTGTATTGATCTAATGCATGCTATGGCAGCTTCACAGGTGGAGTGTGAGTAACAGGACAGTAGTACCTATTCTGTAAACAAGTAGTACCTATTCTGCTTCTTAAGGAAAAATGATTAAAAAAAAAATCAACTCTAAGATTTTAAACCAATTACTTCTGCTGAAATTTTTTTGTTCTTAGAATTAGTAGTGGAACTCTTCTAATTTCAAATCGTGTTTTTAACCTGATTTCCTAAAGAAATGAGGCCTAAGCAATCTGTTTGTGTCTTTGTCTGCCTGTCTTCTTGCCCCCCTCTTCTTCCAGAATCTCGTTGCTTGATGTCAGCCAAAATAGATGAGCACAAATTTCAAAGAGAATTGTATTTTCACAAACTGTGTGAAAATTGACTTCAGAATCAGAGGTTCATTAAGGTGCCAGAGCTAGTGCTGGGGTCAGCCACAGACCATGGTGTTGCTGGCAGTCGGTGAGTAACTGGGATCTGTGTGCTGGCTGGCAGTCAGCCTTGTGAAGCTCCAGGATAACCACAGCTCATGCTGGTGCTTGTCTGGAGGGCAGGCAAAACAGAAGCAGGCTGGGGGTGTAGGGATGGGAGTTGAGGGTCTTGCAGGGGAAGGAACAAGAAAGGGAGGTTAGAGGTGGTGGAGGACTTGGGTGGATCTGGCTGAGAGGGGTGTGTGTTTTAAATACCTAGGAAATCAGGCTCTGGTTACTCCAGGCTTCAGAGCACAGCTTGCTGGCTGATCACTATAAATACTCTTGACTGGGCATTTAACTTCCAAGCCAGATGATGTCTAATAATCTAAAAGTAAAAAGGATCAGTTCGTGAGTCACCATCAGCCCTCTTTCTGTTTCACCGTAAGATTTTGGATTTTTTTTTTTTGGTAGCCTTTCCTTGATGTATCCCTAAGTATTTTGTCCTAATATTTGAGCCCCCTTGTATAACAATCTTTGTAAATACGCAAGGAATCCCTGCTATACAACTCTGAACTTTCTTCTGTTCTGAGAGTGGGAATTGTCGCTGCTTGTTTTCAGATCTGTTGAAATAGCATACGTTCATCTGCCTAACAGTGATGGAGTAGTTTGATAGATTTGGTGGGACTGTAGCACACTTAATATATTGCCTCCTCTGAGGAAAGAGCAGAAAAACTGCTTATGCAGCTTATTCTTGAAAATTAGGAAAAACTTGCACAGAGCTGGTGTTAACTCTGATAGTGGAAACAGCACTGGAAGCAATTTTATAGTCCTGTCTTCCGTGTCTTAACACTGTGTTCTTGGAGGTTGCTAAAGTAGGCTACCAAACCCTGCAGGCAACAGCCAGTCTGCTGACCTTACCTGCCCTTCATGGGTGGGACTAATTAACAAGTACTCTCCTCATTCCCTGTCTCCCAGCTGTACTCTTCCTTTTTATGTTCTTTCATGACTTTCTGATCTGTGTTATCTCAATACTTTGTGTTTAGGCTCAGATTATTTTCACATCAAAATTCCTCAATCTGATCTTGATCAGCTCTTTCTTTCAGTTGCTAATTAGCATTGCAGGTGTTTGATTGCATTAACAAACACTCGAGATGCATTCTTTATTGGCTGTACACAATAAGCTACAGAATCATGTTACTCAACCCATCATTGTGATATGCCTACTAACAGCATCAGTGAATTCGGCCAAACTTTTGTTTCCGGGCTGCTATTTGCATGAATTTGCTTAATTTTCCTGTTCTGGGATGAGGATTGTGCCTTTCAGCACCAGGCAACCTCATGTTTATCACTTGCAGAACTAAGCTTGATTTGCTTTGATTTTATTTTTCTTTTCAGTGCGGAGCAGATTGAGGGATATAGTGGGAGCATCAACCAACTGGAGGTACAGTGTATATTAAATATATTTTACTTTATTTGTGAAACCCAGAGAGAGCTCAAGGTTGCGGTAGTGGATGTTAGCTTACTGACTGGGGATGAAAAAAGATCCAGTTAATCCACTAACAAGGTTTCTGAATTGTTACTTTGTGGATCACAGACTTCTGAGATTTCGCTGGCAGAAGATCTTTAGCACCAAAAGAACAAAATATGCGATCTTGATGCTTACAAGAATTTCACACTAGCTTTGAATCTGATGGAAGTTTAGGAGCTGTAGAATCTGAATGGAAATGTTATGTTGCTGTTACCTTTTGATTTATCTGTTGGTGGATTTGTCCTGGGCTGGGTTCAGAGGCAACTGAGCTGGTTCAGCATTGAAGCAGGCTGCATTGCGAATGGCCTGGCAGCACCCATGTCACTTTGGACGATGGTCAGCTTGAGGTCTCGTGTCTTCTTACTCAGGAACATCTTGGGCATTTCTTTTCTCTGCTGTAAATTAATTTTAGGTTAATTTACATACAGCTTAAATCATTGATGTTGTATGCTAGTTACCTTCCTCCCCCTCCTTTACATTGAATAAAACAGACTTGACTGTAATTCCCTACTGTTAACAATTCTGAATAAGTCAGTATAGCAGTCTGGGGAAATGACTTATTGCTCTTTGGTTGGTCTCATATTTATCGTATTGCTTGTTGATTTTCTTATGGCTGTGTTTGCTGAGCTCTTGTTTCACACTTTGTGCACTGATGAGGAAAGGGAGAGGCTTGTCTGAGTGGAGTGTCTGGTGTGTCTAGGCCTTCTGACTAGGTTTGTCTGAACAGGATTATAGGCACGCTAAGGAAAATGTTTGAATCTGGGAAGCTGATTTATGCTTAGTAGTACTCATATCTAAGCATGAGGGGCCTTGAAATTTTTTGTAGATCAGCTGAAAAGGGCTCTAGAAATCAATTTTAAAAAGAAGCTTTCCTGCAGCCCAGAATGGCTGGGGAGGAAGCACACCATATGGAAATACCACCTGAAGATCAAGATTTGAGAGGGCTCTGGTCAAGCCTGATCTTCCATGTGTTTGTTTTCCTCCACTGTCCCCACCCTGGAAGCAGAGCAGACTGTAGCCAGGATCAGCACAGCAGTGTTTTTCTTAGATAGGTACGTCTCTTGTGCTGTGTAAAATACAGCAGGAATAGTTTGTAGAGTACTGTATACTTCAACTACCATGAAGAAGCAGAGCTGGGAAGCCCATAGCTGGGAGTGCTTGAGAACGACGGGCTTAATATGGGGAAGTTTGGAGGACATGGATCACATAGCCTTTGAGATTCCACTTTTAAAATGGAATGACAAAGAGTTGATACATGTGGAAACTGTACAGCCACTACTTTAATTGAATTAGACCATGGAATGACTGTAGAGGACAAATCTAAGAGAATAGCTTGATAGGGGTCCCAAAATGGGAACTAGGGAGGACTGATGTGCATAAATCTGGATTGCTGGGAGAGGGGAGAGATGCATTTTGAGAAATGCCTTTAGCCATTAATTTTGCTAAAAGGAACCTTTGGTTCATAATTTCTCTTGTAAAGGCCAGTGCTATTTTGTATTAGAAAGAAATATCTTACTTATATATTTATTCTGGTTTTGTAGTTAAATGGTAACTAAAATTGTTAACCTGTTTAGTGCTAGTTGTAGTCTGGGTAGAGTTGTGGCTATTTCAGAAATAAGTAATGTAACTTCTCAGAATGTTTAGGGCAGGCACTAGTTAATACTCAGATTAAGTATTGCTACTGTATGACTGGTACTGCAGTGTGTAACAGTATTTATATGTTGAAAAGCATTATTGCCTTGAGCCCAGTATTTCTGTATAATGAAGAGTACATTCTGAAGCTGAAGTCAAGAAGAGTTCTGCTGCTGACCTCGGAGCCAGGATGAGACTGGTGAAAACAGACTATAGTTGAATTTCTATTGTTTGGTTTCTGTGTGTTTGTAGATAAATTTCTGATTTACTCTCTGATTAATTTCTCTTAAACCTTTCACTGAAAGATATTGGAAGAAAATATTTTTAAAAGTATAAAGGTGCATCATCTTGGAGATTGCATCTTTCCTTACTCATCTAGTATATTCCATTTCTATGCAGTGGCATAACTTCAAACAGTAACACTCTGGAGGAGTTGTTATCTTTCTATTTTCTCTGAACTCTGCAGTATTCATGTTGCCCATATGAGGTAAACCATACTTCATATTTAAAACAAACAAACAAATAACTGGAATTTTCTGCTAGACAGCTAGACTTTTTACTGTCTTTGATCATGGATTATTTGTATTTCCCCGTAAATTGTAAAAAAGAAAAGAGAGAATATAAATATGTTGAAGTGAGACTGCTTTGTACCTCTCCTCTCCCAAAAATAAAACTCAAGCCACAAAAATCTTCATCTTAAATGGCTAATACTCAGAATTCATCCCAAGTCAAAACTTAAAACAAATTTTCTTTTTGGTGAAAAGGTTCTTTTTATTGTTTTCTTTTTCTTTTTTTTTTTTAAATTGGTTTTGTTAACCATCACAATTCAGATGTCAGCAACACAGCACGCAGTACTGGATGAATGGCACATATCCACAAGTTTCAGTTACGCTGTGTTTTATGCCTTCTCTTGCACTATGAAATAGATTAATAATTTTGCATACTCTTTGGCTTTATACTGAAACCATTGCATGTTTAACCCTTTGGTTTTTAATGCTTTGTTACTGGTTCTAGGGATGTTAGGAAGTAGTTGCTTTGTTCAGTCAGGTTGCACTTTTCAGGGGAGGGAACTTGGCAGGAACAAGTAAGGACAAACGTTGGGCAGGGTTGTTCTATTGTGGAGATACTTATGCAAGGAACCAATATGGTAGATGAGGAAAAAAAGTGACAATAGGGTGGCCCTTCCTCCCTTCTGAGAGTTGTAACTGAATTGGTGGTGCTGGAAAAGCAGCTTTGAAGGGGTAGTGCTCCCTTTCCTGTTTTGTTTGTTTCCATAGCTTTCCTGTATAGTTGTAAGACAACTAGGTAGGAAGAGGAAGTGAAATAGATTAATCTTCCCTTTCTTTTAGTTTGCTGACCTAGTGTATGCTTTATGAACTGATGTAGGAGAAGTCACCTGTGGATGATAGCAAGTCCTAGCAGATGAGTTCTCTCTGTTTCGTGCTAACCAGCACCATACAGCTGCTTTACTTCTTGAGAGGGATTGTAAGTTGACAGTCCTTTAAAATTGGCACTGTAGGAAGAGTTGTGATACAGTAGCTATGGAAGACATGAACATGCACAAAATCTCATATGTCAAATTATGTCTGATTTGTTTTTTTCAAGGGGAACCATTTTGATAGCGTTCAGAATTAGATAAATTTGATTAATCTCTTTAGTGCTTGCTACACGTACACAAAACTATTTAAAACTTTTCTGCAGTAGTCTTGCTTAGATTGTGTACATTTCACTTTCTTTTCAAGGCACGCTTACTGGGTCTTGCTATTTTCACTACTTTTTTTGTTTTCATTTTGATGATCTTCAGTGTGACATCTTTTAGCTAGTGTTTGCAGTTCTGTTGTCATGCTCCAGGCAGCGTGCTGGGTTTTCTTTTTTACCAGGGATCACGTGCAAGCAATGCAAGAAAGAAAAGCTCTTCATACTTTACTGGCAAAACGGCAGGAAGATCTCCCTCCTAGAAGAATGAAAGATAGCTACTTGGAAGTTATTCTGCCTCTAGGAAGTCAACCTGAAATAAGAGAAAAGTATCTGAATGTACACAACAGTGTAAGGTAAGAAAGCACACACAGGAAAGTGTTAACTTTCATTTACTGTGGATGTAGGTAGTTAATTGTCAAACTCCCCTGTATCTTACAGGTTTGGAAGGATCCTTGAAGATCTTGACAGTTTAGGAGGTATGTATCTATGCTCTTGTAAGGAATGCACAAGTAATGCAGACAGAGTGAGTTTGAGTGCTGGTGAGTGGTGTTTGGTATAATGTAATACCACCTCAGAGGGAGAATCATGTCAATACACTGTCTTGAAGGGGAAGGAAAAGAAGAAAAGATACTGGTGCTGAAAGAGGAAGAAGGATGATAAAGAACGGACAGAAGCAAAATTGCTCAGCTTCAGCTTCTGGTCTCTGCCAATTTTGTAAAGGACCAGCTACAAGAATAATATACTGAGAAATGATCCTAGGTTATGAATCTGTGTTGAGTGTTAAATCAGAGTGCTATTTCAAATTAAAACAAATTATTTTTTTTTTTCTTAAAAATCCCCCAAAAAGCAACATGTAAAACCTAACAGATAGTGAGTGGCAAATATTTTTAATCTTTCCTTTGGGGAAAAGAGAGTTTATGCTGGAAAGAACAGAATTTGTCCATTGAGAACAAATGAAAAACACCTGGTGTAGGTTCTTGGGTTTTGTCACTGAATTGATGTTAAGGGTAGAAACAACTCAGGTATTTAATATGTTGGCTTTCTTAATTTTTTTTTTCTCCTTTTCATTTATTCATGATCTTTAGAAGTTCAAGATCTTTGACTTTTGTTTTGCAGCTAAAATAATTGCTAGGCTGTTAATAATAACGTGGAGATGCTTGTCTCTTAAAATGTCACCAGGTGACTTCCTTCTTCGTCAAAGTTCTGTAGCTGATAGGGAGCATTTTGAGGGGTGTTTTGGACAAATAATAATTAAGAGGAAGTTCTGAAAGGAACAGGTTTTTGGTAGAAAAGAAAGACATTCTGTGAGTCCAGATGGACAAAACAGACAGAGGCAGAGAAACAAGTAAATACAAGTCACCTTTCTGTCAAGGAGAGACAAAATAGCAAGATGATTTATGTTTCTTTCTGGCATGTGGAAGATTGTGGCTTCAGTACCTGTCCTGTATTAGGAAAGGAGACTTATAACTATTGGCTACCCTCCATTAGTAAATGAGATGGGCCTGTTTTTCATTCTGTGCCTTGCTTATTTTCCCTGGAAATTTGTGAAGATCTTGGGTTTTTCCTCTCTGTTCCTTGTTTGTAGTCATACTGGGCTTCAGTCACTTCCACTGGGGATGTGTTGGTTTGGGTCAATCAAGATTCTGTCCCAATTACACAATATTCAGGATGGTGGTCAGCAGTTTTCACAGGAAAATGTACTGTTTTGTCCTCCTGTCATCTCAGCATCATATTTACTACATAAAGGTCTGATTGACTTGTATTTTGTCTTTGGCAATAGGATTCTGATAAATCCCATTCAGACTCTTACTAATCATATTGATGGCATGACTTGATAAGTGTAACGGTTTTTGGAATTGTGACTTCAGTAATTTTAGGGGAAAAAAATCTCAGATTACCTGGAAGACAGAGATCTTCCTTCTCTCATTGAGCAGAAACTTTTGATTATGGAAATCTGTGTTGAGTGAAAATCACTGAGTACTAGAAAAGGGTCTTTGCAGCCTTGTGTTAATCTAAAGAGTCTGTTTACTTGAATGTGCTCTTCTGAGCAGAGCTAATTAATTTAAACAGTGGTTTGGCTAGTAGTAATTACAGTGTGATAAATACCTTTGACTATGCTTTCAAGCCTGTAAGGCACAGTTTATCTAATCTGCACGTCTTTAAAGGAATCAGTGTTTGAAAATAGGTCCCCAGATAGCATGTATTCCTGGACACCTGCATGAAATCAAAACAGGAGGTAGAGAGGATCTGAGACAGTGGGCTGTAGGGGTAAAGGGAATAGGTTAAGTGGGTTTGGAAGCAGAGAAGCAATGGGTTGATTTAAAGTGCTCAGCTAAATTTATCTTTGTAGTAAGTAAATATGGTTATAGCTGAGACAGCTGTTGAATCACTGTTTTCTTTACAGCAGTCCTGTGAGTTACATACATGAAAATGTGGAAGTTGTGTGCACTCCTACAACATGATACTTTAGTTCTGTAGGTACTTTTCATGCTTCACAAAGATGGCTTTGATCTGCTCTGCTAATGTTTTTGTTAAAGTATGGGACAACTGAGAGCTGACTCTCGTTTTTGGTTTCTCCACAGTTCTAATTTGCTACACTCACACCAAGCAGGAAATGCAGCCAAGGTCTCCCTTATCAATAGTTACAGCTCTGGTGGATAAAATCAGTAAGTGGCAATTTGATCAGTAGAAATGGTTTCATCTGTTTGTCTTACTCTTTCAGCAGCTACTGCCTTCCTGTGGTTGTTACTGAGGATGCCTTCTTCCCTCTCCTGTATGGTTCACTTCATCTTGTTTTGGCTTTGAACTCTGATTATGGTGGCTTTTGTTGAAGGCAGAAGGGAAGAGGATTTTGTAGATGCTTTTCAGCATTTCATATTTCCCTTCATGTCAAAATATGACTTTCATGCTTCCTGCACTTCAGTGTTTGGTTTTATTTTGGCACATGAGTTTCTTAGCTTCATTGTGGAACAGAGTTTGTTCTTGTGGAGCTGGACCTTACTTGTGTCTCGTGTTCTGCTAACCACCTCTGTGGGTCTGCTATCTGTCTGCCACTTGTATGCCTACTGTGTCCTCCTGTTCTGGCTTTAGAAGTCTGATAAGGCAGAAACTGCAGATTGGCAGTGTCATCCACTGCAACAGCTGTCTTTTCTGGGTTGTCTTTGTGTGTGTTTCCACTTACAGAACAGAAAAAGATCTTAGAGAATCCAGCCTTTCTTATATTAGGTGTCTCCAGTAACCTCTAACGTTTGTCGTTCAGATTTGTGCAAGAAGATTATCTATCCAGACTGTGATATCAAATTCACAGGCAACGTTTCTTGGGTTGGAAGGACCTCAATGGAAGTGAAGATGCACATGCTGCAGGTTAGTTCCTGTGACTTCCCTCCATCCTATGACAGTCATGAGGTGCTTTGAGGTGAATTCAGGATGATGATATTAGCAGTCTAAATTATATTTTCTAGAACAACTGGTTTGAAGGGCTTGAAACAGCCCTGGGTTTCAAGACAAAGATGACTTTCAATAGTCCAGGTGCTGCAAGATACTCTTGCTCATTTTTCTATAAGATGTGCATATTTCTTAACCAGTATCTTGTAATTAAATTGGAACATGGTATTCCTATAGAAAAAATAGGTGGCTGTGCTCTGTATTTTCTTAAAGAAGTTTCTCCCTGCTTTTGAAAAACTTTATTTTCCTTATATCTGTGCATTTTATACATTTATGAATGTTAATATTGGTATTCAGATTCAGTATTGTATCTCCTGTGTTCATCTTTTCTACTGTGTATCATAATTATTGTAATAAGTTTTTAAATACTAAATAATAGAAAATAAATTAAATGAAGGGTGTAACCAGGCTACACTGTGCAGGAAGCAGAAGGAATATAAGTAATTGAATTAAGAATTCCTTAATATTTCTACTGAATATTTACTGTCGGTTGATAAGTGAACTGAAACATTAAATCAATATTTTCGTTATTTAGAGTAACAAAGGTATGCTTTAAACACCTAAGTGGTATTAGGAGCTATAATTCAGATAGACAGGTAAATATTTTTTGATTCAGTTTGTCTTAGTAAGTAAGGTCTCTGACATAGCAGATAATATTACACCTTTTCTGAACTCCTCCTGGTGCTGGCTTTAGCAGCAATTTGGTTTTGACAACAGATTGTTGTTTTGGCATTTCTCAGAATAAAGGGCCTGTATTGATTTCCTCCTGCCCCACAGCTGAAACTAGTAGTTGATAAGCATTCTCTGCTTACTGTTTACGTTGCAGAATTCCTGACACTGGAGTTTTAATTTGTGTTATTTCCTTTTTTGACCAATTGTGAGAGTTCTTGGAAGGAGTGACAGAAAGTGAAAGTAAGCAGCATTAATAGCGTGATGGCATAATTGATGTCAACCGAATAGCTTGCTGAGCACATTTTACAATTTTAGAGTTTAAAAATATAATTGTTTCCTGTCTCTCTTAGCTACATGATGGTGATTACAGCCCCGTGCTAGATGCAACTTTTGTCATGGTGGCCCGGGATCCAGAAAATAAACGGTAATTTGTAGGACAGAAAAATAATCTTCAGACTCCTGCTATGGTAAAAATAGCAAACACGGCAGCTTGCTCTGTGTGTGTAGAAACCATGTAGTGTAGATGTTAAATAAGTCACACAGTTGATCTTTTCTGCTGGCAGGAGTTACTTTTTTTGGGGCAAACTTCTGAGCATTGATTTCAGCTGTCAGATGATACTGGGAATTGCTGGGTTCTAACCTTTTTCTTTAAGAGATTTTCCTTGTATTTGAATAACTGGCCTGATGAACATAAAAGTGAATGACTTGGCTAAAAACTGGCCTGTGTTCTACAACAGTTGTTAGAATGAATTGCTTTCTTGCCCTAAAAAAACCGAAAAGGTTGAGTCTCAATGGTTAAATAGCCTTTGAGTGAATAATGCCATTAATTCCCTAGTAGACACATGGTAGGTGTCATCAGAATAACTCAACCCAAAACTTGGTTAAGTAAGTAATGTGTTCTCAGAGAACTAAAAATTAAGTTTCTTATTTTTCTGATTTCACTCTCTCTGTAAATCCTTAGTCATTAAGATAACAGGCTGCTTAGTTTCAGTTTTGATTTATGTGGCTTCAGCACTCTTGTATAGCCTGCAAAAGTAGTAAACAATTTTCTGTTTCTAATTAGTTTAAATAATTGCCTGTATTTAATGAAGAGGTATATGTTTAATGCTGGGGTTTTGCTTGGCATAATCATTTAGTCCTGATGATAGAAGTTGTTATTATGTTTCTTTCATTCAGATTGACAAGATTTTTTTAGAACCCTTAACATACTGTACATTAAAAAAAATGCTTATATTTCTGGTTCCCATTAATTATACGCTACCAGATTGACTGAGGATAAGCCTATATGAACTTGCGTAGATAGATACAAACTTCAGTGGCTGTTCTTCAAGCCAGCTGGGCACAAGTGGAAGTGGTGTGTCCATATAAGCATGGTATTTATTCTATGTGAGGTAAAAATGTTATAGAGGGATAAAGGGTATGTTAGGTTGGTTATAGTGCCACAGAAACATGGTTTTGTGGCTTTTGGACCACAGCAAATTTGCATCTCAGCAGCTGGGGTCTTGGGCAGGAGAGCTGGTGTAGATGTGAGCTGAGCTGAGGGGAGGGAGAATGAGCTTGATGATGGAGAAGGAACTGGTGTGTCTCCAAAATCCAAAGCTTTAGCAAACCAGGAAAGAGCAGTTTGTCGCAAGCGAAAGGGCCTCTTTGCATGCCTTGTGTCACCAGCCCAAGCAAAGGCTTGGGCTAGAGGTGAACCGTTCAGCAAAAATAAGAATTGGAAAAATAAGAATTGGAAATCATGGAGAAGAATGGCTCATGAAAATAAGCATTTGCCTTGCCTTGTAAAAAGAAATAATTAAGTGTTATATAATTAGGTTAGAGTAAACTTATTTGTGCAGTAAAATAAACATACAAATTTGTACTCAAGGCGGCCTCATATCATCTTTGATAAGTAGTGCATGTGGTAAACAGCTTTTGGCTGTTGATAAGGGTGTCATGGGAACGTGTAGATTAAAAGAACACTTGCTAGCTACAGCACTGTGCACGTTCTATCCCGGGAGGAATGATACCTTTCAAATTTTGTCTATCTCTTTCTGACTATCCTAGATCATCACATCTTCATTTGTTGAGTTTCTAAGCAGCTTTCTGCTCGAGTAATCTTCATTATAATCTTAAAGAGCTAAAACTGTGTCCATAGAAGCATAGATACATTGATTATTCTTTCTCAGTTATACTTAACTGCCTTTTCAGAGTTAAAGTTAACATGATATTCTCTTGGCAGCTGCCACATAACCTGAAGTGTGTGGCTTTTTCTCTTGTAACATGTACGTAAGCAAAAATGGAAGACTGTTATAACATATTGACAGGACAAATTCTTGTGATGTTTGTAACTTAAATTAAATTCCTGTCCCTAGGCCAGCATTTGTTAATCCACTCATTCCTGAGACCCCTGAGGAAGAGGAAATCTTCAAGCAAGGGGAATGTATGTCATACTTCCTGGTAGTATGTCCGTCTGCCTCAGGTTCAACTTACCAGCTGGGAGGAAGCAGACTTCAGAAGTTCTGCTGCTTAGAAATGCTCCTAATTTGTTTAAAATCAGATTTTTGTTCGGTCTCATGCATCAGTAGTGTAAGAGAGTTTAAAAGCCTGCTATTGCATTCTTAGAAACGCTCTGGCTAAAGTGACAGACAAGGGTACTCCTGATGTGCTCTGCAGCCCACCATGACTTCTCTGTTTCCAGGATGCTCGCTCCACCTCCGATCTGGGTGCAGCACAGCCTTCCCTAATGCTCTGCCTGACTGATTGCCCCCGTGGTGGGTCTGCTGGGTGCATCACAGCTCCTCACCTCTCTGGGGGCCCAAGTTCTTTTTGGAAAGAAACTCAAACATATAAGAAATGGGGAGAGCAAGGGAAGGAGTGTGTGGCTTCAGCTTCTTCTGTTTCAAGCTGGAATTTTAAAGCAGAAAATTAGAGACACATTAAATACTGAATAAACTGAACATATTTTTTTTTTTTAAGCTAAAGTGTTAGTCATTGTGGCCTATGGTAATGAATTCTGTCATAAATTTGCATTCTTGTACCATTGACAGAACCTGAAGAAGATTGTTTATTGTGCAGGGGTTTTGTTTGATATGTTTTTCTGTACTTTGAGGGGAGTACTTAAGTTTTCTGTAGGATGGTGGTGGGTAGCATAGTGCATGTATAAAAGGTCCTCATCACATGGGTGAGGTAACAGTGAACTTCTGCATTATTTTTTCCTTAATGAAGTCAGTTCTAAAGGCCAAATTTTTCTTTGAATCTATGGAGCTGTGAAGTTACAGCTTTTAACTTATAGAGGGGGGAAAGAAAAAAGGAAAGAGCTGATTCCAGGTTGAAATCTCCAGAACCAAACCTTTTTTTTTTATTTTCCTTTGAACTATAATATGATTTTTTTTTTTAATGTTTAGTGAACAAGGTGAAGAGGATTGATTTCAGCACAGCCTCCTTACTCAAAATGGCTCCCACTGCAGAAGAAAGAAACATTGTTCATGACCTATTCCTTAATACATTGGACACAAGGCAAGAAGGGGAGCGGGGAGGAGACCTGAGATCTTAGCAGAGGGAGAAGGAGTGTGCCTTTTGAGTGATTGCTCGTAAGAGGGTAGTCTGGAATAAGCGCACACTTTTTCTTCTCCCATTTTGCAATTTAAACTCTGGGGAGTTTTATTTGAAACGCAGGTACAAAATTTAATGAGGTCTACACCTCTTAAAAGAGTCTTCTGTCATTCAAGAGTGTTAAGTGTGGTGAAAGTGACAGAGTTAGTACAAAGAGCTTCTGAGCAAGCTGTTATATAAAATCTTGAGGAGAAAGGTTAATGATGTTTAACCAAATAAGGGAATGGTTTAGCATCCATGTGACTTGCCCAGTCTAAGAGTTTTCTGCCATAATACCTAGAAAAAAACTTCGAGGGCAGGAATTTGCCATATTTTGGCCACATAATCTTGCAATTTGTTTTAAATATAGTATCTGACAATGTTGTTTGAGAGAGACTGGTGTTGGTGTACTTCTCTTATGCTTGAGATTTGTGTGCAATTTTCCAGTGCCAATGGTGGTAGAACAATACCTCATGACATTAGTCCAATGTTGTGTTTGTGGATAATTTATAACTTCTTTAACTTACATTATGCAATTGTTATTTTCAAAGCTGTTTACCAAAGTCAGATGTGTCTTCCCTTAAAATTAGCAGATGTATTTTCTACACCCTCTGTCTGGATTTGAAAGCCTCAAACCGTCTGCATGTTTGATGTTGAATTACTCTGTTAGCTCATTGTGTACTTTTAATTCATATTACAACTTAAAACAGTGTAAGGTTTTCTGGCAAGGTCTGTACTTTGAGGTTGTGATTTATCTTTTCTTTCATCTACCTTTCTTAAGTTTTTTCATTCACATAAGCTTGAACGTTAGCAGATGTTTTTTGAAAGATTAGGAGTGTAGGCTTATTGCAATAACAAATCAAAGTATCACTTGGGATAAGGCTTCAAGGTCAGTTGGAACATCTTTTAGTGATAGCATTTCTGGTTTGTGTGGGTGTTTTTTTTTAGTGTGTGTCTGTATTTGCTGTTTGGGCATTTTTGACTTGCTGAATTCTGCTAATGTGGGCTATAAAGTGTGTTGTCTCTTCCAAAGGACAGTAAGTTTCCGGAGTCGTAAGTTACCGCCCAATTCAGTGTGGATGGAAGATGCAAAGCTAAAAGGCCTACAGATTTGCCATCCTCAGGTATTTTGAAAAGTATTAATGAATTACAGAAACAGTTACTTGTGAATTGTCTTGTAAGACTAGTCAATCCATTATTTTATTTTGGTTCTGCAGTCCTTGCATTGTATTTAGATTTTACTTTCTTTTGCTGTTTTTTCTATTATCTGTGTGGATTGCCACTACAAAACAGAAGGCTTTAATTACCTTGTTTTCTTACCAGACTATTTTGTGTAAAGAAATTCCTTTGCAAAGTGTTTAAGTTGAGCTTCTGAGCTTTTGAGTTTTTGTCTTTTGTTGTCAAATGAGTCTGATGAGCTCATAAAGTTGCCTCAGCCTTTTGGACATTTGCATATGTATTTCAGTAGTGTTTTTTTTATGCATTCAGGTGCTGGCAGTTCTATTAAATACTGTGAATTGAAGCACAGGCTTTGGCACAATGCTTTGAAAAGAATATATGTAATATAGCAGTTTGATTTTTGTTTCTACATACAGGAACGGAACATCTTCAATAGGATCTTTGGGGGTTTTCTTATGAGAAAGGCGTTTGAACTGGGATGGGCAACTGCTTGCAGCTATGGGTGAGTTGTAGACCTGCAATATTTATATATGTGCACAGTGCTCTGGATTATGTGTAGACTGGGAAGCCAGACTAACCAACCTAATGACAATCTGAGTAGAAAAGACTTAGGTGTCTAGTAGAATCTTGCACTATTAGTGCACAGCACTGTTTTACTTAGAGTATCTGTTGTTTTTACAAAAAGATTTGCACCCTGCTCCTTGGGGCTTGGATTTTAAGCATTACATGTCAAGATAGAAAATTCATCCTTTTTATTTTTCTTTTATCTTACCAAGCTATTGAGATTGACTTTTGAAGATACGTTTTCTTTCTAACCATGTAAAATAGACATTCTGTCAAATAAATATTAGGTGTCTTCATTCTGTACACAAGAGGAATGGTTTCTGACCTTCTTCTTGTAACTGTTTGTGCTTAGAAAGCGTGACTGAGGTCATCACCCAGCAAAGAGCTGTGCATAAGTTTAGAGGAGCATGCATAGCCTGAGAGAAAGAGAAGTGTTTTATGATAGTGCTTGGAAAACTGAGGCCTAATTGATGATGGCATGAAGATTGCCTAGCAAGTCTAAGTCATAAGATACAGCAATGATGCAATACCATGTCCTTAGAGAGTGTGTATTTTTACGCATGTGAGAGGTTTCTTCCAGTTATTTTTATCATGATCAGTGACATAATTCTTTAACACTTTCGTGGCCTGTGTTTAAGAGACAAGTCTATTTTCTAGCTACCCTTCATTAAAATGCTGGTAGTGAAATATTTTAAATTTTTCCAAACACCCTTGTTGTTCTTCAGAATAAATTTCTCTCTTCTTTGCTCAGGGGTTCCAGACCTTTTATTGTATCTGTTGACGATATCATGTTCCAGAGGCCAGTTGAGGTTGGATCCTTACTACTGCTCTCTGCACAGGTAAGAGTTGATGTCTTTTTGAAAAGGAGAAGAACTGATCTTTGCTGTAGTCACTGTTAATCGCTGATAACAAGCAGTGCATTGTGACAGTGTGTGACTTTTCTTGTTAAACAGTCCAAGTCTGTCACAGTTTTTCAGCACCAGTGATAAATTACGAACTATAGCTCTTATCTTGATTATGCAGGTCTGTTACACAGAAAAAAACTACATCCAGGTTCGAGTACACAGTGAGGTTTATGATGCAGATACCAGGGAGCACCAGACAACCAATATCTTCCATTTCACATTTGTATCAGAAAATGAAGTCCCACAGGTTGTTCCTAAAACTTATGGAGGCAAGTATCCAATTAATGCATTGTCATCATAACTCTGTAAACAAGATGGCTCGCTTTCTGTTGAAACATTGGATGTTTTAATAGGTGAACTATTGGCATTTGAATAATTTAGCAGGACTTCATGGCAAACCACATTTATTTTATGCTTTAATGACAGCGTGGATTGCTGCTTATTCTTACCCTTCTGTGTAGTTGCCCAGCATTGATGCTAAGTTACTGATGTGGTTCTCTTTTTTTTTCCTCCATCTTATTTCAGAGTCCATGCTGTATTTAGATGGGAAGCGACACTTTGCTGCAACCATGAAAGAAATCTGACACGCACTGGATGCTGCATCAGCAGCGTAGCAGCATGCTGTCTTGGAAAGAGCTGTCATCAGGGATGGCTAACAGACAGGTGTTTGCAATACTTAAAAAAACCCAAAACAAACAAAAACCCACCCCAAACCAAACCCCACTTCAAAAAGTATCTTTTTCAGTGCTATTTATGTATTTGCATATATTTGGATTTTTTTATTCTCTGCTACTAGGCTTTGTTGAAATCTATTTTTACATGCTGATGCTAGGAAAAAAGGCTGAAAAAAATACCATCTTAAGCTTTAGATAGCTTCTCTTTATCTGCTTTGAGAGATCTCATTATGACCTTCACTGTCTTGTCACCATCTGCCTTCTTTCCTGTAGTTCTTTGTGTTTCCCTGATAAGGGATAGAGGTTCTATCAGAAAAATAGGTGCAATAAGTAGATACATACAACAGACATGTTGTATGTACAGATGAAAGATGAAGCCGTTTGACATAATGTTCTTGTGTAAATTAGGTTTAGGGTCTTATTTTTTTTTTTAACAAGGGCACATGCATCTGGGCAGCAACATAAGCTCAGAAGTTACTAGTGTGTGCTCAATGTAAAGCAGGTGTTTCCCATCAGCTGGGATTTTACAAGGTTGTTACAGCTTCTGTTTTGGATGGTTTCATATTCCCTTGGGAGGAAACTGTTTTTGCAATGAAATGAGGTGGCCAGATAGTCTCTTCTGGCATTCTGTTTGCGTGAAGCCAGTCCTTGCCAGCTTCTTCTAACTTTGGCAGTTCTTTGGGATGTAACTCTGAGTTCCTTAGTGAATGGCTTGTAGAGATCTCACCATCTGACTGGTGAGACTGGGAAACGGCATTATAGAGCAGAACATTTTGGTCTGTTAGGGACTGGGAGCAGGAAAGGTGAAATGCTTCTCAAATGGTAATGGTTATCTTTGATGCTGGAGTTAGGGGTCCAGAGAATCTGTGTTGAGCAGCTTCCAAGTCTGCTGCTGAATGGTGGGAGGATTTTTATCCCACTGAGGGGTGGTACAGCTACAGGACAACATCCTCAACTGGATTTGTCTGGTTCCTTGGTAAACTGTAACGAAATACGAGTGTTGCACAGCTTTCATGGTTGTCAAGTTTACCTGTAAATAGAGTAGTTCCCCAGCAGAGGGGACACCACGCTGGACGTAACTGTAGCATGCAAGTAACAGGAAAAGAAGTACTTGATTCTGAAGTGCGTCTGATGTAGTGGAGAAAGTTTTAATGATCTCCAGTATCTGGCAGGTAAAGCCCAACATCCTGAAATTAGGAAGGTGAGTGGGTGGGAGGCATCAGCTTTTAGCAGTGAGGGTGATTAGTCACAAGCACAAAACTGGACCTCTGGTACCTTCAAATCAAGACTGATACCCTGCCTGATCAAGACACCCAAAGAGGAGTAGTTAGGGTCAGTCATAGGTTAAACTGATGAAACATGATGTCTTATAGTGCACAAAAGACTCCGGCTTCCCTGCTGGGTTTAAAATATTTTGAAATCAGGAAGCAGCAAGTAGAAATTATGTGAATCAGCACAGATGACAGGTTGATAAAATAAAGCAATGTGTTGAAATTTTATTTTTGAGTAAGAAAGTTTTGAGAAATTCACAATTGGGACCAGCTTCCTTTGGTGCTAGGACAGCATGAAGTTTATGGCTCTGAAGAGCTGATGCTGTTCCTGTGAGGAGAGTGAGCACCGTAATAACCAGCACAACAGCCAGCCGTGCCTTCCTGGGATTTGGTTGCCTGTGTTTCTAAGCTAGAGAGCTTCCCAGTGGAGGCATGGGGATGTTGCCCAGTTGGATCAGATTAATGCATTGCAGTGATAGTAAGGTCTATTTCTCTCTCTGAGAGAGGTTTCTCTCTTCAGCCACACGCCAGTGCTGCTTCAACTCTATGATGTTATGGCTTTTTTATGTAGTGGTTATGATACCATGGATATGTATGGTATTTTCTGGTTTTCTCCTCCTTAAAACTCTCGAGAAGCTGAATGGACTTGACTGACCACACAAAGAACTGAAATTCTATCCCAGCTCCTTCTTCCCTCGCTGCACGGGTCACTGCTGGCTGTTGAAAAATGAGTAGGAAGGTGGGAAGTGGAGGGATCTATTTCAGAACTATGTACTGCTCCTCACTCTGTGTGGTTTTTTATCGTTGACCCAGTGGTCCTACCTGGGTCGCTTTTGTATGACCTTTGTAAGTTAAGGGAGCACCAAGTTCTTCCTCTACTGTCTTTTCAGCTGCATTTAAATAGGAATTTATCATCATTTTAAAATTCAGCCTTCAGGAAGGGACTGGGGAGGAGAAAAAGAGGTAATACAGAGCAAGGCATGACGTCAACACCTCTGGACACAGTGGAGAAAGCAAATCCCACAAGTAACGATGATGCTTAGAAGAATTAGTGTGTTTCCAAAGTTCACAATAACTTAATCATATACCACAATCACAGTAGTTATAGAGATGTATGTACAGTCATACAGAATGTGTGTATATATATATACATATGTAAAAGGTATAAAATATATATAGTAATAAACAGAAAGATCTAGTCCTCTCTGATAATAGCCTAAATGTATCTTTGTCAAGGGTGTTATTTATGCACATTGCTGTATACCTTTGTGTGTGAGAGAGAACTTCTCAGATCTCACATTCAGTATTAAAATATTTTAATGTAGTAAACAATCTTGAGTTTATACTGTAGCTTAATAACCAGCCTGTCACTGCTGTGACTGACCATTACCACACAAGCCAAAAGGTATTGGTATGAAATCTTTTTATTTATAGTGAACTTACCTGTGTAATTGGCTGCAGCTCTGGAGTGGGAAGTAAATGTTTCTGTGCCCATCGCATCTTGGAATGCAGCGAGGAAGAGGAAGCCTGTGGTAGCTGGATTGCCTCCCCTAACCCTCTCAGTAGATAATGGTGATATAAAAGGAGATTTTTCATAGAATGTAGAATGGTTTGGGTTGGAAGGGATCTTAAATATACATCCGAACTCCATTTTTGTGGAACTGGCTGAGTTCACTGCCCAAAGAAGCACTTTGATTCAAATGTTTTTATTTTTCTGTGTTTTAAAAAAAAATAAAATAAAATTAACATTACTTATTCAAACTTACTGTGACAGCTTCTGGTAGCCCTTCTTCAACTCTGTGGCTGATGAACAGCCTAGTGATGTGAGCAGCTGCCTCTCTGTGTGCTGCCCTCTGGTCTCTGAGCTCCCGCGGGCTGGAGCAGCACAGCACAGCCATTGGCGTTTGGCCATCCCATGGTGCCTCCCTCCCCTCTGGATGTGATCAGGAGCTCCTCCTTCCCTCAGGCCTCACAGGGACTGGGGCTTGATGGAGTTCTGCTCGCTCTGGCTGGGCTTCCCCCTGCTCCAGGGATGTGCTTGGGTGTTCTTTGTGTCGGAGCTGAGTAAAACTTCAGCAGCCTCCTCTGCTTTCTGTCTGCAGCGAGTACTGAGGAAAGGTGTTAAATACTCACTGAGCTCTAGAAAACTGGTGAGAACACAGCTGCTGCTCTAGCCCTGCAGCGCTGTACGGCAGTGCCTGCCTATGGGGAAGGGAACTGCATGGGGTGGTGGGGGACAGGGAAGTGTGTTGGAGGGATCCAACCAGGAGTAATGAAGCTGTGCTGGACTGCAGCAGGGAAAAAGCCTTCTCTGTAGCCTGGTGAAGGGCTGACACTGACTTCAGGTGCACAGACTCTAGGACACCGTGTTAAAAAGATGGAGAGGTGGGAAGGAGCGAGAGAAGATATTCTTAGGAAAGAGACCTCCAGCGCACACAAGTATGAAGTATGTCTTACATGGAGATGTTCTTTTCCCTTGAAAGCAGAAATTCATGTACATGAGCCACAAGAGTCTCTCTGGTCACAGGCCATGTCAATACTAATCTTGGGAAAGTTGACACTTACTCCCTTCAAACTAGGAGCCGCTGTTACCGAGTGGAGCAGCGCAGGGCACTAACCACAAGGTACATCTATTAACAGTGTAGGGCCAGGGAAAAAATTCAGGCCCTGTGAAATGGATTGATCTTATCAGCCTGTACAGTACAAATACAAGCATGGAAAAAATTACTGGTTCAGCTCTTGAACCACATGACCTGAGGTAACCGTATTTTTTTCAGTGCAGTTGTACTGATTTATGTAGTGCAGGATATGTTCTTAGTAGTTTAAAAATGTTTTCCAGCTTTGGACAGACTGGAAATCTAATTCAGCAACTGTAAGTTGTTTCTGGCATTCGGGTTTGCTGCTGCCACCTCTGAACTAGAGAGGAACATACCATAAGAAGTGCCTCTTTTCTACCTGTAGCTCTGAGAATGTGACCGAGCTGACAAGATTTTTCCAGAAATTAAGTAATCTATCCATAGCAAAAGTCACGAATCTAAGCCTGAGATGCTAAGAGAAGTAAACTTTGGGAAAAGCAAGCATCAAAACAAGGGAAAACATGTATTTCACAAGAACATCCTCAAATAATTAATAAGGTACCCGTGCTTCACACAGGTCAGACTCCTGTTTAAGCAAGGAGACCTTTAGCCATCTACTGCAGTTACATAGTAGTCAAACTCATGAAAGTAACAAAACTATTGAAATTTTATTGGCAAAAATCAAGTTGAAGGTGACCTATGTAATCCAGCAGAAGCAAACTTCAGTTTAGCTTATCAAAGTACTTCAGTTTTCCAGCTGGATCTGGAATTATCTGTGCAAGAAAGAAAATGAAAATGTTAGTCTGAAAACAAAACCACACAAACGCAACAAACTAGAAAACCAGAACAGCATTGTATTTCAGAATATGATGCTGAGCCAACCCACAAAGCAACACCAAAGGGTAATTTATCAGTTGACTTGATACTATGTTACCATTTAAGAGTAGCAGAAAGATTTCATTAAGTGGGGGAAGAGAGAGTGCAGCCTACCAAAGGAAGAATTTTGACAGTTGGGAGCACATACTTAATGTTGCTGGCCCCAAAAGCAAGATACTTTAATAAATTAATGTCTGTAATTAAGTCTTAAAATTTACTTACAGTTCTTCCCTTGGCCACCACACTCTCATGGCTTCCTCTGGTTTGATCTAATTAAATCAAACACATTTAGAAGGTGTGGCTATATCTTCAAGAAAGTCTTTTTGAACTACTTTGCTACTTAAATTACCTGCATCTTTTGCACAGAGGAGAAAGAGAATGCTTATGTATTGGTTTAGATCTTTAAATTGGTAGGACCGGAGCTGTTAATCTCAACATTGTAAGACTGTCTTTTAGAAAATATGTCAATATGTCGTATTATTTAGGTAACCTATGGAGAACTTTGCAGTGCCAAAATGTATCTATTAGGCCAGCCAGCCCTCTTTTTATTTTACAGTCTTAATATCCAGCTTCCCTCACTAAGACACTCTCCTGCTGGCTTGAAAGAGGTGACTCCTAGCCTCCAGTCAGCCTGGGAAGTTTTCACATCCAACAAAGAAACATGGGTTTAACATTCCACTGTCTTTACTATTAATTACAAAGCTCACTGTGCTTAGAGGCTGCTGGGACCTGTGTTTTGTTGAGCCAGCTCTTAAACAAACACCACCCTGTCATCACCAGCTGGTTGAGGAGAAAGGCACATGCTCAAACAAATGCCAGTGATCTCATCTGGACCAGGCGGCTCAGGCTCTAGTGAACGTTTCATTATTCTGCTCAGGCTCCATCCGAGCCCAGAGAACACAAACAAGTTCAGTGGGTGTTTATCTGACCCCTGGCTCTGCTGCTGGGAGTCACATGTTGTAACAAAGGAGGAAGAGCTATCGGGCAGCAAAGGAGTGCTCTCTGCTGGAGTTCTGATGGTGGCACCACTGCCTTGTCAGGCGCTACAGCAGCCTGGGAACTTGTACCTTATTTTTTTGGGTAGTGCCTAGGATCCACAGGAAGACTGGACAGAGCCACGAATTTATATGGACAAGTAGCCAAGAAGATAGGACAGACTCAAGAGTTTCCAACTTCCTCTCATCAGGTGTTAACAGGAAAAAAGGTTCTTGATCGTGAACTCATTGCTGCTCAAGAGAGTTTTGTTCATACACAGGGAATTTGAAACAACTGGAATATGTCTAGTGTGAGGGAAGCGAGCTCCTAATGAAATGGGTGGTAATCCAAAAGCTGCAACTATAACAATATGTTCTTACTCATCTCACTGAAAGTTGCAAAGATTTTGGATTTGGCTTTAGTAGAAAGGATAACAGAGTGTTTTTTCAGTAGTACGTGCATTTAAATATAAACAGTGACTTACTGTTTCACTGCCGGGCTTCCAACCAGCAGGGCAAACTGGAAAAATAAAAGGACAAAGTTAGTAAAAGCATTTTTACAAACAGTTACTTTTGTAAACTTAATATTCTCTTTCTGCACTTGAAGTAAACCAGCACACAAGTGCCACACATAAATATCTGCAACTACTAAATACACAGTCTTCTTTATACATGGTATGGTGTCATAACATTTTATACCTGAAACCACCTACCACTTCTGTTAACTGGAAACTGCGTCTCTCTGGCTGGATGTCTATGCCTTGGTTTAATTCCTGTAACCTCCTAGACAAGGTACTGGCACAGCAGTATCTAAGAATGAATGCCTATTCTAGTAGAAACAAAAGTTTCATGATAAAATTTAGGTGGCTACACAGAGACCTATCTTTCTTTCTTTAAAACCAATGCTAGGGGAAGTTTTCTAGCAAAGAAATCAGTTCAAAAATTCCACAAGAGATGGAGAGACTTTTATTTGAAGCCTTGCTCAGGAATAAAGGGATTATAGCGTGTGCTTCACACACAGCCTGGCTGAGTGCCCTCTGATCACCTGCACAGTTGCACACCCTGGAGTGAAGCTCCTGTCTATTCAGAGCTCTCCCTCTGAGGCTTTGCCCAATGAGTTATGTCATATTGCACTGCTCTAAAGCACGCTGTCAGACAAAACACCACAAACCCAGTTAGGAATTGTGGAGAACTATTCTTCTGTTCTGTGCACAGAATCCAATAAGGCACCTAGGGAGGCTCTCCTCACCATTCTTGCAAAAGCTGGTGAGGTTCTACCTACAGCTGGAAGGAAATGTGGTACCCTGGAAACACGCTGCAGATCAACGTTCTGTAAGACAGCTTTGTAACTAAGTAAGAGGCTAAATTTCCTTAGTTAAAAGTGCAGAGCCTAAGTACTAGCATTTATCTTTTCAAATCTGTACAGCGAAGCATAATAATGATTTGTACCTTCAGATAAAGGTACCTTCAAATGCCAGGTGCAACTTAGTTGAACGGGAAGTTAAGCTGCTGAAGATGTATATTAATACTTAAAAAAAAAAATCTTTAAATAAACAGGTGTGTTTATTTAAACACATAATTTAAAGAAAATTGAAAGAACTGTTAAAAGTTCACCCTATGCTTGAACTGGGGGAATATGAATTCTTGAGACACAGTAATGATCTGAATCCAGTGAAAGCTTCGTCAGGGGGAGATGATCACATAGCACTTGTGAAAAAACCACATGTAATGGTGATCTAACTCTCACAGTATCCCCATGTATCTTGACATGAAACACTCTCAGTTACTTGTCACAGGTCCCCAGTGAATGACACGGAATGAGGATGGCCTGCATCTCAATTATTTTAGTATGCCAAAACACACTAAAATATTTGGCCTGATTCTTCAAGGCCTCATATTTTGTACAGAGTTAGGCTTGTGACAGATGGTACATAATGCCTTAATTATGACTAAAGAATGCTTTATCTCTGCATTCTCACGGATCTCAAACAAAATGTGAATTACTACACTAGAAACAACCTACAGAGGTACCAGGACCACAGAGTTGTGTAGCAGGGCAATCAAACCACTTCATTCACTGCATGAGGCCAGTCTCTAATGCTACTGAGCACCTTTCTTCCAAATAGCTACAAATACAGCTTCCAGTCTAAGTAAAGCAATCTTCAAAATGAAATATTTAAAACATTTAAAAGAGCACCTTCTCCATGTTTGTCAGTGTACTGGAATGCTTGTACTAAACGAAGCGTTTCATCCACCGATCTCCCGACAGGAAGGTCATTCATGGTGATCTGTCGAAGGATCCTCTTATCGTCGATGATGAAAAGGCCTCTGTGAAAACA